ACATCCTCCTCCTCCTCGAGCAGGTATTCACATCCTCCTCCTCCTCCTCGAGCAGGTATTCACATCCTCCTCCTCCTCGAGCAGGTATTCACATCCTCCTCCTCCTCCTCGAGCAGGTATTCACATCCTCCTCCTCGAGCAGGTATTCACATCCTCCTCCTCGAGCAGGTATTCACATCCTCCTCCTCCTCCTCGACCCGCCGACGCTGATCGAATGTCATCCACGCCAAGCGATGTCACGGTGTGTCCCCCGCTTTACTTGCCTCAATTGCGCTCCTTATTTTCGTGGTTGCCCTTCTTATTTGCCATGGTTGCCTTTTTTAATGCCTGTGTTTGCACCTTGTCATGGTTGTGCTCCCCCTAATTGCTCCCTAAGTCTCTAAAAATTGGACAGTATGAGTGCGTGGTTGTTCGTGTTACGTGAACGAGAAATCGAACTAACGATTGATCCGTGTTAATAATGATATTTCTGGACGTCGGAGTCACTTGCGACTTCTCGCGTGCACTTCTTGCTCGGGCGGAGGTCGTGACCCTTCGTTCGTGTTTGTCACCCCGGCCCTCACGCACGGTGACTGATTACCCGAGGTGGGAGAGTTGACGAGGTATTGAATGTGAGCATGTAAGGTAGTGAGGTGTAGATGAGCTAGCGTCGCTTGTCCCGTGTCGCGCCATGCCGATCTCTCTCATGCTGTGTCGCTACGTTAGATTGTACACGAACCCCACGCAGCCTTATACCGGAATGTCATCGCAGATTTCGGACGTGCATTCGCGAGTATTTAGCGGGTGAGAATACCGTGCAGTCGCGAATCATTTAGTTTCAGGTCAGCGAAGTAGATGGGGGGGGGAGGGTGAGGGAGGTCTGTGCCGGGCTTACGGTGTCTTGTTAGTGTGGTAAGAGTTGTGGTTAGTGCGTGTAGATTGTTCGGGTAGAGGGTGCTTTTGTCTGTGCGTGTGCGTGTGTATGTAAATATTATGTCGCGGGGAACGCGTTGGGAGATCGTCCGTCTCCGAAGGAATGGGTTTACGTTCTAGGTTAGCATAGTTTCACATCAGGTTTGTTTCGCTTGCAACGGTTCGGCTATATGCATGTGATTTTAGTTGTAGTGCTGCGATGGGGCACTGTGACTTGGTGTCATTGCAACATGGTATCGTGAGCCTACCCCTGTCGCCAGCCTACCCCTGTCGCCAGCCTACCCCTGTCGCCAGCCTACCCCTGTCGCCAGCCTACCCCTGTCACCTGTTAAGATCCTGCCTTTGTCATCTGTTGTTAGCGGTCAAGTAGTATGTCAAATTTTATGGAGTCATAGGGGGACAGGTCATAAAGTATGGCAGCGTTTGACTGAGCAATTAAGGTATGTTTCTGCTATGTTTTGTATGAAAGTACGAATATGTATTGCCTAAAGTAATGCAAGGTGTAATTATTTGATTTCGGGACTTGAGTGGGCAGAAAATTCAGTGATTAACATTGATTTAACAAGTTTCTGTGGCTGTGGTACATTGTATTTGCATGAGCAAGTGAATGTCTGGTAA